AGCGCTTATCAAAAAGGACATGGAAAACCAAGTATTTCACTTTTGTATATATTCTCTTGATTTGCTATAAACACCACTAAATTAGACAAAACTACAGTTTTACATATGATCTATTGATTTTTTATTTTAGTGTTCTCCCTTTAAACCATACCACAAGGTGTTCAAGTATTGACCATCGATGTTGTAATTGAGGGTTGTAGCTATATTTCGGTGTGGTTTTGAATCGCTAAATATAATCGATTGATACCTTCAATAACTGTTTGTCTTGTTCTCTACTATGGATTGCTAGTTATTTGAAGCTTCGTCTGAAACCTCAATCCGATGTTTTACGGTTGGTCAGAGCAGAGACATAGAAATAGTATTGATGGCCGGTGAGTCTGAAAAAAGGATGATACGATTGCTTGATACTTTACGTTGGCCTTTACACGACATTTTACATTATACGTGATTGAACTTGGAAATTTTCAATGGAAGCAATGTAACTGAAGTTTGCAATTCGATGTTCTGATGAACACCAAGGTAAACTAGAAATCAAGGCACAGTGAGAATTAAAATACTCATCTAGTTTTGTCTGCTAACAATCAATGAATAGCAGAATCCATCTGTGGTTACCAATGGCCGATCAATTAAAATATCAATCGAAAAAGCTGTTATGACAAAATATCATTGCCGAAATATCCAGGGCTATAACCGAGTCAGTGAACGACGTATAAACAACGCATAAACCTTCGTGGTGGTGGTGGTGGTGGTTACTGACTCTAGTGGCCATTGAGGTATGTTGGGCGCCTTTGCCGTCAAAAGACGACTGATTCGATGTACTGGGCACCGGCTTCCAGTGGACTGTGGTTTTTCTACACCACCCCGCTGCCTTGTGGGTCATACTTTGGCTAGCCGAAGGCTCCCTTTGTAAATTACACAAGGAAGTCCACCAACTTTGAACCGAGCAAACTAGTAGCATCGCGGTCTGGAAAAACCATAGACGTTTTCCTTTTTATTAAGAATACTGTACGGTTATTTGGTATACACACAGTCTGAACTTAGACGTGTATGATAATGAAAAAAGCACTGGCGAAAATACAGGATTTATCATGAAGGCAATTTATTTAATGTAAAAGGAAACGTAAACCAATGAAGAAATTCAGTGCATTAAAATATCGGCTTTTGCAAGGCACAGTTATACCATATAGTGTTTTGAAACACCGATTTTGAAAATAAAGTTAGGTTTTTGATACATTAGCCTCGACGAATCCTTATTTAATATATACCATAGCCAAACGCGATAGGCGATGCAAAGATTTCCATTGGCGTACTTTACCTCGGATTTGGATATCCGATTGCGTTGCTGCAATTCAGCACAGATATCAATTAGCCTTTAGCCAACACATTCATATAAACAAAGCAAAATAAAATTATTCTCTTATTCTACGACTGCGTCAAAAAATAATTTCGGAAGAAGACAGTCAAAATTCAGTGAAGATGGTCTTACAGCACATTTTGAAGGTTTCCATGAAAATACCAAATAAAATCCGTCACCACTCCATTGCATAGAAGGAATTTTACTAGAAGCCAATTTGAGTCCTATGGGAATCCTATTCGAGTCCGAGAAACTGAACTGAAATTAGGATTCTACAAAAGCACAAAATCTGGCCGGGAAAGCCGGAAACATTTGAACATAGTTCTGGATAGATCGGTTGTCTTTAATGATAGACATTTGCGATACAGTTCGTATCAAGTCACTTCGCAATGGGCATGCCTAATGGATTGTGACTGGTCAAAATTGTTGATTTGAAATTTTTAAAGCCTAATTTTCTAAGCCTACTTATGCTTTTCGATAGGATACCGAACATTGAAGAAGACGTTCAACAGAAAAACTTATCAATAACCGAATGAATTCATCCAAATATGGATCTCTTAAGATATGGTGAGCAGCTTCGCTTCCTGGTAATGCCCAATGTACGGTTTGGACGCGCCTGGCTCGATACCACGGATAACTAAGTGTTAACCTAGAGGGTCTTATAAGATCCCCTCACACGTGCCATCAGCCACTCCCAGTTCCGGGATTGATGTTGGCTGTTACCGTAATCATACATATTGCTTGCTCTAAACTGAACAGGTATTCGGGAAAAGCATTTGTCCCATCCGTTATTCCTAAAAAATGTGTGCATTAAAAATGTACATCACCGTGCCAGTCACGGGTTGGTGCGTTGAATTTTAGTAACTAGTCGTCGATTATGCAAGAAGTATTCCACGAAATATCAAATTCACTTTAAGCTTATCACAAACCGTTGGTACAGTTCAGTTCAGTTCAGTATGCATATGACCTCCGAACCAAAAGAGCAGTTAATTACGCACAAAGGTTTTGGGATAGATGCTCAACAAGATAGACTGACAATCAAGGATATACCCAATTATGATTGGATAAGCAAAACTGTGACAAAAATTTCAGTTAAGATAAGAGCAGTCGTGCACCATGAATCTTAATTGATTTTTAACTACAGGACTCATAAATGGTCACATATTTGACCATAAATGAGTTTGACAGCCGGTCAGCTCGATCGAGCGTCTTTGCCTAGTCTCCTGAAAACGCCCTATCACTTCACCGTTCAGTCAATCAATTTTACCTATCGAAAACGATGGGTGACTGTCGGTAGCTCAGAGAACTATTTTTGGCAGCAATCCACCGTACTCTAACAACACTCAATACATATATATTTATAAATATATTTACATCCACACTTATGTATATATACATATATATAGATATATATATATATATATATATGTCGATACCTGATAGCGACCTTTAAGATAGTCAGGGCTATCAGGACTCCACGCAGATGACTTGTTTAAAAAAAAACACGAGGGGTCATAGCTTTAAGCTCCAACAGAACCATGCTAGGTTTCTTCGCTCATAGGGTCATACCAATGTGGAACAGGTTACCCGGGGTAGTGGTCAACTGCACCAATGTGCATAACTTCAAGGCGGCACTGGATGCGTGTTGGTCAGAAATTTTCCCTGAGGTTAGGGGGCAATGCATCGTCACCGAAAACAGGGTAAATTGCAGTCCTGAACTATGGCATTGGGGCTTTAAATTGCACTTGAAACTGATAACTAAGAAAATTAAGGTCTCTCACCGACGAGGCGAGAAGACATCTCTTCTGTTTTCTCTTTTCCAGCCCGCTTGAGAGAACCTGGCTAAAAGAAACTCGGGAGCCAAGAACACCCGTCGAAAACACAATAATCTGGACGCTCGATTGGCAAGGGCCATTATTCGTCCTGTGAAGACTGGACTGGATATGGACTGTTGTTAAATCTCCCGATGATGTCCTAGGAAAAGTCCTATTATCATGACAACGTTATATTTCATTCCACGAGATGGCCAGTTAATATTGTCAACTGAAATGTACGCACATAAGTATACATAAATTGTAAAAATATAAACTTAAAAAAACTATACGCGAACAATTAGACCAGAATTCCAAATATCCGTTTGTGAAAAGCGCTGAACTACTGAAAAAAAATTTCATTTCGTTGAATGATACAAAGTGTCATTGTTGAAACAGGAAGATTTGCTTGGTGGGATTCAAGAACCCACAATCTGTTTATATTGGGGTATACTCCTCCACGTTTTCATTTTTTTCGCCCGCGTTGTAAACAATGTAAAAACACATTCGTCAGGTTTTTCCGGACTCGAGGATCTCAGACCCCTCTAAAAAACTTACTTTCCAGAAACTTATCGAAGATGTGAAAGCTTTCGTTGAACGCGCTTTGTTGTTCGTGTCCAGCCTTCGTCGCACTCATTGCTTATTTTTAGTATAGATGGGATGAAACCTTTACGTGCCCCCGCTGGCACTTTTATCTACACGTGTTTTTTTACTTCAATTGGAGCAATTCGTGTAACATGTTTCTCTTATTCCCTCATCCTAACAACAACTGGGATTTCACTCAAACGTTTTATCATAACACCAGTGACAACCACACATTTTTGAAGGGATTCTATTTGGCATGCGTCTGCATACCAGACCGTTTTGAGGCGTCCGTCTGTACCCTCGAGTTGTAAATGGGCTTCTTTTCTTACTGTTTGGTTTCGGCACGACGGGGATGGTATGCCGAAACGTTTGGACATTATACTCCAACTGACAATCAGTTTGACCTCACTAGGGGTTCTTTTAAGATGCGCGACACGGTAGATCCTCTGAGGATCTATATTAGTTCCTTCATATATTTTCCGTAATCTAAGATGGCAGCGGAAAGTCCGGGCGGGGTGGATTTCCAGCGATTCAGACAATTGGGTCGATTTGCACATCTACCTATTTTGGTAAGATGTCTTTCAAAAGTATGTCTTGTTATCTGCTTTTTATCCCACTGAGGTGAATTGAAAACGTTGTATCCTAGTTTAACTTTTCTCACTCTAAACATCAATTCATATTTGGCCTTCAGACTGACCTATTCATTTCACTTCCCACCCGGTTTCTATCGATTTGTGATCCTTCGATTATGTGCATACCACAGCTGACTCGTCAACTTTTTCGCTGATTTGACGGACAAAAATTGCCCCTAACCATTTGAGTCAATTTAAGTTGAAATTCTAAGACAATGTACATAATTTCCCTTCTAAATTCTAAACTTTTAATTTTAAATTAGGCGTTCCTCACATTTTACTTCACCTTAATGGCGTTTGGCATTTCCTTTGTTTTTCAGTTGTATCATGTGATCGGCGCTTGCCTGCGGATCGTTGAATCCACTGATTGTTCTTCATCTTTGGATTATTGCTTAACTGACTAACTGTCTGATTGATTGGTCAGCTAACAGACTCAGTCTTACGACCGATCATTACCTCATCCGTGTTAGTGGTTTGGATGAATCCGGGATCTCAACTAGGTTCAAATCTGCGGAGCCCAAGGACGGGTTCCATTTAGTTTATTTTATGTCCCAAACTACTCCGCCGCCGCGGGGGGAGTCCGATTCCATCACCAGTCGAACAATCTCAACGGGGTCAATGCAATCTCACCAGCCCCCGGGGGGCGGTTCTGATGCCTCCGCGGGGGCTGGAATGCGAAGAAATGCGGGTGGTTGTTTGCTGCCCCAACCGAGTTCCTCTCGAACGCAGACCACTTCCACAAGCGGGATTCCCGCGCCAATATGGTTGTCCACCAGCGCACGTCCCATGGGAAGTGGGCCGAATTTGATGTCTCCGGGGCTACCGAGAGTGACTTCACCACCTCAACCACCACCACTGCCTCCACCACCACCCAGTCCACAACTTATCCCCCTGAAAGTGCGTTTAGCACGTTCCAAATCGATCGCCTCGCCGACTGCCAGTTCATTGACACGAACGGATCAGTTGTCGGGGTCTGGAGCTCGTCGGCAAGATCCATTATCGGTTTTGGCTCGTCGAGCAGCTTTCGGACATGGCCCATCCAAATCTTTGCGTGAGTCTAGCTCACCTCCTGATCCAGATCATTCGAGAGCTGGATTGAAAGGTGAGTTGGTTCTGAAAACTGCAATTGAGCACGAATATCATTGTGGTGCCTCTTCATTTGTCTCATTATTCCCTAATCTTGTATCGATGTACCCCTGGTCTCATTATCTCCGATCAAGAAGGACACAAGTAACTAACCTAGAACAAGTGGGCTGTGATTCTGCCCAATCGATTTACAAGACGAACATAAGATCCATTCATATGAATAAAAGATTGAGCCCATCAACTATTGCGAAGTAGAAAGCGAAGACGCCCCTTAATGTGTGCCCAGGTGAATTTGAGCTGCCATCAGTTGCTACGGCTTGATTCGAAATGTCAGTCTACCTCTCTCCTTTAAAAACGTTAGTTGATATACTCTACTGTAGAGTCATAAGTCTGATCCTAATGGTGATTTTTACCCGGCGTATTGGAGTTTGAGTTCCTGTGGAATCCACCAGACTGGAGTTGACATTCCGACAATTCATATATAAATACATGGGCATAAAATTTGGGGAACATGCTATTGAGTCTTGTCGCCTGTTCCCACATCTGAGGTTGTTGTTTATGAAAACTACCACTATGAATTTATGTAATTGTTATAAGTCATTTTACAATCTCTCCGAGAATCCACCTTTCCAACCTTTTACTAAAATCACGAACATAAACTTGTTTTCCAGCTTTAAATCTCCTCAACCTGATGTCAGTGTTTGTACTGGTTTGTGATTCATTAATCCGTGAACGACTGAAATCATGATATCTAGGGCTAAGCTCATTCATCGACCTAGAAGCAGTTTAGCCGGAGACTTCTTGTCTGAGGTAACTGGGTTGAAAGTCGAGCGCTCCTTAATGGAAATGGTATTCTTCGACCGTCGTATTTTTCTCACCCCGTCTGATACTGGAACGAAGACCGTTTCAATGTATCAGTAAACCGTTTTACTTGAACTTTTGAATGCTAGTGATACATTGGATAACGAACTCGGCAAATGACATTTGATTCACTGAACAGTTTAAATTATAAAGTCATCCTTATTCTTATTCATTTTCACAGGCACCTGAGTTCAGACTGTGCCAAACAAATCTCGGTTAGATAAACCTTATAAAAAAGAAAAAGGATCCATGATTTGTGAATCAGGTTTCAGCCTTAAGTCATAGTTTAACTTCCATTGAGACTTTTTTAACCACGTGTTCAGTTTACTGGTCCATAAATGACTAGTTTCTGGAACTTTGAGCAATTGCCTTTATGCAATTGATTCCATGGTGAAATTATTTCGTCGTAACTGACTTAAACGCTTGTGGAACGAAAATTCACATCTCGAGCATTTGACATTCATGTTCACCATACAAGACCAACTAGTTCTACAACGAGACAGTACACTCTGCAATAATCTGTCCTTCGATTTCCGTTCCGGTGGCTAGCACAAAAACCTCAAAAGATGTACGGTGAAACTATCAAAACGGTTTTCNCCGAGCCGCTGATCAGGCCGTTTTTTCATTTTCCATTTACACGATATAGCACAACCCATCTTTGAAAGTTTGTTGCTGGCCACGGACCCTTGCTATATACACGACTAATTCTCATTTGAAATTTAACCAAATCCTCCATTACTCACATGAAAAAACGGTTTTCATTCACTTTTTGTTCCAGTTCTCTGTTTTGGCCATTTTTATCTCATCTTTCTATACTTTTGCTACCATTATTATCATTTTCTTTGCGTTGGTACCATGTTTGTTCTCCCGCCGGTTATATATACACACAC